GAAAATCTTAGAAACAATGTAGAGGGAATTACTGACTTCTACTTCTTTCTCTTTCACTTCGAAAAATGATGGGTCTTGTAATTTGTTCTCAAATAGTGTAAGTTTTAGAATGAATAGTTTATTTTTTGATGTTTTAGCCTTGATTGTCTGAGATTTGTTATATTTTATATTATAAAAATTAAGAAATACCATAGAAAAAATATGTCGAACTTTTGTTTTCAAAAGTAATATTTTCTCAATTATTAATTAATATCTTAAAGGTTATATTTCTCTCATTTTCCTTTTATCGTATACCTTATTTTGGAAATCCAAAAATTGTATACATATTTTTTTTAAAAGAAAAGAAAGAAGGATGATATAAAGATTTTACAAAAATCTAAAACTAAACCTTGTGTTGGATTTTTTATATTTATTCTTCTTGATATTAATATTATATCAGGGAAATTTTCAAAAGAATATGACAATAATACATAAAGAGCTAAATGTTTTGCTGGATTTTAACTCAGTACCTAATTATATAAAATATTATATTTATTTTTTAGCTCATTTTATTCTAATAATATTATCATGTTTTGTCCAATGGCGCAACAGGTAGCCATGTCAATAGTTAGTACTTCATTATTTATTAAATAAATGTTGTCTTACTTTTCAATTTTATTTCCTCAAATCAAGAAAGATATTGTAACCTTTATATTTGTCGATCGATAAGGTTCGCGAGGAAGAATATAATGTATGTTATGAATTTGAAGGCTCAATGCTATATATGCAAAAATGCGATGTTGGAAGAATATATAAATAAAAGAGAAATTATTTGACAATGCAATAACAACAACAAACAATCGATAGTGTTAGAATATAGAAAAGATAAAATTGATGAACGACATACGGTTGATTCTTTTGTAATAACATTAAGAATAATAATTATTTGGTCATATTTTAATAATCGCGCGAAGCGCGGGCATATTTACTAGTGACAGAATAATTACAGCATTTTCAGGCCAATCCTAATATTCAGTAATTACATACAAATAGACCTCCACACAAACTCCTACGTGACATTATCCTTACACTCCCCCTCAAGTTGAGCAGGGTGTGGAACAACTGTCAACTTGCACTTCAAATCTAGGAAGCGGACCTTGGACAAAGGCTTGGTGAGAGCATCGGCCACTTGATCATGAGAACTCACATACCTTACCGACAAAGACTTATCACAAACCTTGTAACGGACAAAATGAAAATCGATTTCCATATATTTTGTTCGAGAATGAAAAATGGGATTAGCAGTCAAGTAGGTAGCACTAAGATTATCACACCAAAGAATGGGAATAGAGGTGGTAAAGCATCCAATCTCTCGGAGGAGAAGCTCAACCCATGTCATCTCAGAGGTAGCAGCAGCTAATGCATGATATTCAGCGTATGTGCTCGACCACGATATAGCTTTTTGCTTTCGAGAAGCCCATGAAATCAAATTGGAGCCAAGAAAAATGGCGAATCCAGTGGTAGACTTGCGATCATCAACATCACCTCCCCAATCTGAATCACTATAACCATGAAGCAAGGCAGAGGACCCACGAGAAAAAAATAAACCATGAGAGGAAGTAGCATTGACATAACAGAGAATACGTTTGACAGCAACCCAATGAGAATCCATAGGACAATGCATAAACTGTGAAACTTTGTTAACCGCATACGTTGTATCGGGTCTAGTAAACGTCAAGTATTGTAAAGCTCCAACGGTACTCCTATAGAGAGTCTGACCATGAAATGGACGTCCACCAGTTGTGGAGAGCTTGGATGAGGTTGAAGCTGGTGTGGAGACAGGACCACACGACCCCATTTCCACACGATTAAGAAGGTCGTTGACATACTGTTAGGATCGGGAACCCGAGTAGTGCGGAATTTAGCCAAATAACGGTATAATGACAATAACAAAGACAATGAAAGTTGATAATAACGGCAATTAAAGAAGATAAAGAAGACACAAATTTAATGTGGTTCGGTCAAGGTGACCTACGTCCACAAGCGGAGAGAAGCAATTTCACTATACCAACAAGAGTACAAAAGAGAGTACAAAATTGGAGTAAATACTCTAATTAATCCCAAATACCCCAAGAGAATAACCTCACAATATCACTCCAAATAAAGGGTTCACACAAGTATTTCCCAACACTCACTCTCTTACAAAATACTCTATAATGAAATAAAGGAGGAGAAAGAAAGACAAGAGTGAAAAGCTCTTGAATTGGTGTGTTTTCAAATGAGGAGAAACTCCTCTATTTATAGCAAGAAATCCTTGGCCTAATAATGGATATTATGTCATGGCAAATGTCATGATCCACAAATTTATTATAATGGATATTATGTTATGGCAAATGTCATGAACCACAAATTTGTTATAATGGATATTATGTTATGGCAAATGTCATAAAAATTTGGCCATATTACAAATCTCCACCTTGGCCTAATTTCGGCTTATATATAGTAAATTTGCTCCACCTTCTCCGCAAAAACCCCAATGGGCAAAATCATTCTTCATAAATGCCAATCAAGTTCAGGCAAAGCTTGAACTTGGACACTGGAAGAGGTTTTGTGAACATGTCAGCAGGATTGTCTCTAGTGTTGATCTTCTGAACAGAGACTTTTCTTTCAGCAATGATTTTTCGGATGAAATGATACTTTATATAAATGTGCTTCATCCTCTCATGATACATTTGATCTTTAGTTAAGTGAATGGCACTTTGACTATCACAGAAAATGGTAATACCACCTTGGTGTAAACTGAGTTCCGCAAATAGACCCTTTAACCATAAAGCTTCTTTGATCGCCTCAGTCACTGCCATATATTCTGCTTCGGTAGTAGATAAAGCTACTACATGTTGTAATGTAGCTTTCCAACTAATAGTGCAACCACCGATGCAAAATATATAGCCTATCAGTGATCTTCTTTTGTTAAGATCACCTGCATAATCTGAGTCTACAAAACCAACCAAAGTGTTAGTATTTCTCCCAAACTCCAAACATGTGTTTGAAGTACCTCACAAGTATCTGAGAATCCATTTCACAGCATGCCAATGTGCTTTACCAGGGCAAGCCATATACCGGCTTTCCACGCTCACTACTTGTGAAATGTCTGGACGTGTACAAACCATTGTATACATAATACTGCCGACTGCACTGGAATAAGGAACCTGTGCCATGTACATCTCTTCTTCCTCTGACTGTGGGAACTGAGCAGCTGATAACTTAAAATGAGCAGCAAGAGGGGTACTAACTGGTTTAGCATCTTTCATGCCAAACCTCTCCAAGACTTTCTCCAAGTACTTCTTCTGGGTCAGAAATAGCCTGTTGGCTTTTCGATCTCTTTTGATCTCCATGCCAAGGATTTTCTTAGCTGCTCCCAAATCTTTCATCTCAAATTCACTTTTCAGCTGACTTTTCAAATTGTGAATTTCTGTTAAATCCTTAGCAGCAATGAGCATGTCATCAACATATAATAATAGGTACACAAATGAACCATCATTTAACTTCCGAAAGTAAACACAACTATCATACATGCTCCTCGAATAACCATGACCCAACATAAAGGAATCAAACCTTTTATACCATTGTCTTAGAGACTGCTTTAATCCGTACAAGGATTTCTTCAACAAGCAAACATGATCTTCTTTCCCTTCAATTTCAAATCTTTCGGGTCGATGCATGTATATTTGTTCCTCAAGTTCGCCATGTAAGAAAGTTGTCTTAACATC